TATTAAGCTGTAACGAGAGCGTGTGGAATCTACGGGACCGAACGCTCAAGGTCGTTCACAAAATTGTGTAAAAAGGGTTAATATAATATAAAATGAACACGTGGTTAATAATAACCCTTGGGAATTATTTGATTGCTTCCAAGCTGTTTCTTAAATAAGTTTTGTAAGTAGAATGTACAACCTGTGTTTTATAAAATAATTTTTCTTTGAAAAAAAAAAACCATTTTGTTTTTTGCTGGTTCTTTCACAGGATAGGAGTTTTTTTCGAATCATAGATAAAAGTAATAAAAATGTTTTTGAATAAGGATTACTTGTAATCTATATTGAATTAACAAAAAATCTATCCTATTGATATGATATGTTAATGTATTAATAATAGTAAATAACAATGTATGTTTTTGGTTAAAGGTGTCCATCCTTTCCATTCTTGAATGTTACTTATTTTTCGCTGTAATATTATATTAAAATAGAAAAAGTCAAATAAAGCAACTCTGAAACGTCTATACGAAAATAGTTCTTGAGAAGAGAAGTTTGTCGCAGGTTGAAAAATTCAGCGTGTCTGAGAAGTAGAAACTCATATTTTATTCATGAAACATTTACATTACACTACTATGTATATATGTCTATTCGAATGCTTTTTCTAACGCTCCGTACTCAGGCATTACACTAAGGGTAATTTCATGATTAAAGTGGTGGTGGGTTCTATAGAGAAGGTATTGAATTTAGGTTCCACGTACTAGCAAGTAGCTACGGTTAGCTTAATTCATTAACATCAAATACGAATTATGACCTCACGAAATCTATTTTCCGATGAATCAGATACATTTTTGTTTCATTAATATGCCATTAGCGTTATTAATATTGTATTATTGGGGTAAGTACGTACTTACTATTTTATGATGATGACTGCCTTGTTAGTCTAGTGGTCGCAATCGCGAATGCTGACCATGAAATTCCGGATTCGAATCCCGGGTCGGACCAAAAAAAATCAGTTATCGAGTTTTCCGTAAAGAAATTCTCAGTAGTTGCCCGGAGCCAGGAAGTTGGCGATATCTCACTCCAGTGCCTTGGGAAGCACGTAAACCCGTTGGTCCTGCGCCTGATATATCTGCGATCATGTCAGCCTATCACTCCATGGGACAAGAGTGAGGAAACAGAGAGTGCACTTGTGTTTGAGCAGACACTTAATGCAATATAATCCTATTCTGCGCCGATGGCTAATCTTCATTGTGGATGGCCACCGTGACCGAAATTCGGTCTTAAGAAGATTATTTCTCTTTTATATCAATATCTCAATCAATCGTTTTTAAATGTTCTAATGTAATGTTATATTATTTAGACGTCCTATACACCTCATTACTATTTATGCTATGGAGCAATCAGTCTACAGCGCCGCCAACACGGAGTAAATGAGCACTTAAAATTGAATAGGCAATTTTATTCGTTCCGAAAATTTATATAAATAGTTGAAATTTATGTAGTTTATCCTTAATATAAATGCAAATTATAGTAGGTTTCGGATTTGGGTTCCTAATGCCCGTGGATGTGGAGTTTTCGAGCTTAGATTTTCTATGAGCAACCTTGTGTTTTAATACTGGGTTAAGCCTTACTGAGTATCGTTAACGTATCATATATAATGTGGGAAAGTCAGGGATAAGCCCATTTGCGTTACGCATGTACTTCCTACGCATTTACGATTATATTCCATCGTCAAAGTTGGTGTAATGATCGCTGACAAAAGATATAATACAATCATATACAAATATATAAACATACGCTACGCCGCAATTTTATTATAGTTGCAGCACGAGTGAGTTAGCTAACGAAAAATAGTAGCATATAGCTGCTGCGTTCCGTATACAGAGAGAGTAGTAGAGAGAACTGAATACCCATTCTAGTAATAACCATGCATTCTATCTTTATCCTCATGGGTGACAAAGCATTCGCATTTTGATTTTTAATCAAGAATATATGTAAATTTCCACGATCCTGTTTGTCACATTTATTTCATAAAAAAGTTAGTTAATTTGATGAAATAACCTCGTGGTACTAGGCTCCACTAAAAGTATCGGGAACGGAATATTTCCACTGTTCCTGTCATATTAAAATATTTTTAATTGAAAACTCCTTGGTTTTAAAAATCGAATACCATTTGTTTATTTAAAAAAAAGATTCTCGGTCCTGTCACAAGGTTTTGTCAAACTTGTTTAGTCGTTGAGAAAATGGAATTGACTCAAGAAAATTCAAGAGCGATGATTTATTATGACTTTCGAAGTGGTTTAACACAAAAACAGTGTGTTGACCGGATGATTTCTGCATTTGGTGATGAAGCCCCAACCAAAACCACAATTTATCGCTGGTTTGCTGAATTTAAACGTGGACGCGTCAAGCTCAGTGATGATCCCCGTCAAGGTCGTCCAAAAAACTGCAGTCACCCAAGAAAACGTTGATGCTGTGCGTGAGCTGATTGAGGAAGATCGACATGTAACATACCGCGAAAGGACTTTGGACATTGGCATGAGTCAAATACAAATCTTGCATGAACAATTAGGTGTAAAAAAGTTGTTTTCCCGATGGATACCGCATTCGCTCTGTGAAGAGCAAAAAGCGGCTCCCGTTACATGATGTGTCAGAACTCTCGAAAGATTCCACGCAGGATCCTCAAATGCTGTATACAAAATCGTATCAGGTGACGAATCCTGGATATACGCGTACGAACCCGAAACAAAAAACCAGTCACGAGTTTGGGTGTTCGAAAATGAGTTAAAGCCAACAAAAATTGTTCGTTCACGGAGTGTTGGAATGGTGGCAGTGTCTCCAAAACCGGCTATGTTACGACTATTCCTCTTGAGTGACAAAGAACAATTATGCAGAACGGTATGCTAGCATTTGTTTGCCACAGGTCGTTTCTGAACTCCGTAAAGAGAACTGCAACCGCCGCATCATCCTCCATCACGACAATGCGAGTTCTCACACCGCACACAGAACAAAAGAGTTTTTAGAGCAAGATAACATAGAATTATTAGACCATCCATCCGTACAGCCCCGACCTAAGCCCTAATGATTTCTATACTTTCCCTAAAATAAAGAATAAATTGCGTGGACAGAGATTTTCATCACCTGAAGAAGCTGTGGACGCCTACAAAACGGTCATTTTGGAGACCCCAACTTCCGAATGGAATGGTTGCTTCAATGATTGGTTCCATCGTATGGAAAAATGTGTCAAATTTCGCCGAGAATGCTTCGAAAAGCAATAAATACATTTTTAAATAGTAATGTTGTGTCACTTCCTTGATTCCCGAAATTTTCAGTGCCACCCTCGTACAGACATAAAAAGCAATGAAACATAACGCAAAACCGTAGCTTAATGGCAGGCTGCAGACAGCAAATTCAAAAGGTTTTTTTTATAGAATAAGGGTGACATACGAGCACACAGTCCACCTGATGGCAAGCGGACGCTGTGGCCCATAGACATCTACATTTATTCTCGATGAAGAATCAAAATGCAGATGCGTTGTCACCCCTGAGGACTAACATGAAATGCCTCGTTTCCAGAAAAGAAAGGTCTCCGGATCTCTACACTCACCATACTAAACACAGCAGTACTAAGCTGCTATTTTACGCTGGTATTCTGTGAGAGCGTGATACTACCCGATCGAGCCGCACCATTCGTGCTGCAACCATAGTATAGCTGCAGCGTGGCACGTGCCACGAATAGGGTGTGGGTTCGAATCCGCCATTCGACTATTGTCGTGAACCCCTCCTACCGACAGGAGTAGTTAAAGGGAATATTAGTAATGTTAATAAATAACATAACTTAGCATAAAAAATTGATAACCTCTCCCTTTTGAAGTCGGTCAGAGCATCATCGCAACTGATATCCAATTTAATCTCTAAAGTTAATAGTACGAAGTAATTTATAAGTCAAAGGTTAATAATGTATCAGAGAAATGTTTAATGCCATAGCTTCATCACTGTAATGTTAAGTCTGGTGAAAAAGTTGGAAAGAACTTTTAAACTCAGATTTAAAATAAAGTAACTATACGTCCCGCAGTTAGGCATGTCTTACTATTATTTTTATTTTTAAGGTTTGTTTATAGAATAAGGGTGACAAACGAGCACACAATCCACCCGATGGTAAATGAATGCTGTAACCCACAGACACCTACATTTATCCTCAATTAAGAATCAAAATGGTGATGCCCCTGCCGACTAGGATCTAATGCCTCGTTTCCAGTAAAAAAAAGGTCTCCGGGTCTGTATACTTATCATACAAAACACAGCAGCATTAATTGCTCTTTTACTGATAAATGTTAATTCTGTATTGCTCCCGCGTCGTTATCGGTGCTAGCTTTCCATTTAAAAAATAATGAATCAAGCATTCACTCAAAGTATACATTTTTAAGTATGTAACAAATTTTTAGTATAAAATATAAAAGAATGACTCAGCCTATAAGCTATTTAAAAACACGCAATTTTTTTTAATAATTTTAAATATTATTTGGTACCGAGCACTACCGACACTATAAAGAATTAAGTGGAAATGCTTTCTAGTGATTAGTTATCAATGAACTGCATAATGCATGTATAATATACGTTGAAAGGGTTTAATCGAATTTAAAGAATTTTTAATTATCACTGGTAACTGAACTAACTATTCTAAGCCCATTTATGCCTTTGCTGGTCTGAGAATTTAAAAAAAAAACTAAAGATGTAGCACTCGCGGAAAAATGTGTGGGTATCTAGATTTGCTAACAATATTTTTTGTTTAATTACCACAATAAATCTTAATTTTCTTTTTAAATTATAATAAATTATACTATATGAACAAAACACACAATTTAAAATTTTCTAGTGTTTTAAACTCGACGATGATTTACTTCATTATTTATTCCTTTTAAGAACTACCCTTTATAAGGTGCACTTCTAACCAACTTTTATTAAAAAAAAAAAAAACAGAAAAACTAAATTAAGAAAAGAAGAAAATAGTAAGTAATTACTTTTTAAAGCCCACAGTTCCAACCGGTTCAAGCTGTCCAGAAAGAGGCGACTATCCCGCCGGCACTGCTCACTAGTCCCATTCATTGGGACCATGATTTTCGGGAATCTGTCCCAAAGTTCCAGAACGTTTGTTTTAACACTGTCATCGTAGCTCTCGTTTTTCGCAGATATTTTTAATAATGTCCCATTAAAGATGCTGTCGGCTATGCTCTTTTCCGAGAGGGTAAGTTCAATGCACTCGCGAGCTGCGCAGGCGCTGATAAGCAGCAATAGCAGGCAAGCGCGCGCCGCCATGATAACATTCGCAATGATGCCTCGGTCTAGCAGAGCGGGTATAAAGTAATATCTATCAAACTTGCGGGCGTGCACTTGAACAATAACCCTAAGCTACTGACATACGCACATACAATTGAATTGGGAAACTCATCTTCATCTATTTACCTTCAAAGCTTAAATCGTTTCAAATTTATGCGCATAATTTGAATCGATTAACTTTGCGGCCGTATACAAATTGTTTCAGTTGCGTTACATCTTTATATTTTAATTTATTTAATTTTTCATTAATTCGATTACAATAAAAGTTTTTTTAATGTATAGTTAGCGAAATGTATGGCGATCTCTCATTAAATAAACTGACTACCTGGTAAAATATGAAAAAGTCAATGGAAAGAAGTGGCTCCGAACCGTGCTTTTTGTTAATCAGTCTTGTCAGAAAAACGTAATAACTGACTTAGGCCTGTCTCGGGATTCGAACCTGGGACCTCATATTCAGCCACCGCGTATATTATAGTACATTATAGTATATAATATTATAGTATAGATTGCTTGGTTCAACTTAGATTTTTAATATTTATGTAAATGAATAAATATTTGTTATTTTAAATCAACAACAATTATAAAACTAATGATCAGACCATTAAAGTAAACTGGGTATTATATACTCGAAGACGAGTGCAAATCGAAAAACAATATCTGCACCCTATGACGCTCCTGAATCATCGCGGTTTCTCTCACATCGTCAATAATACCATAAAAATAAATAAATAATTTTTTAGTAAGTACCTACTTGTTTGTACGTACAGTATGGTGCATTTAATTATTTAATATTAATAATAGTTTATCAATTATATATTTCATCATCAAGTCAACTCCACTGCTGAACATAGGCTTCCCCCAATGAATGCCACAAAGCACGGTCATGAGCCATCTGCATCCATGCATGTGGCTCAGGATTACTGCCGTGAAGTAGTGGTAGAGAATATCTACTATCTCATGTCTTCCCGTGGGTGTCGTAAGAGGCGACAGAGGGAGACTAGCAGGAGATGGGCAGCAGCATTTTTCTGATAACGACAATTATATAATAAAAAAAACTGCTGTTGCCAATCCACTTGCCAAGCGTGGCAATTACGGCAAACATGGGTAATGGCACACAAACAATTATATATTTACTTAACAATTTATTCAGTATTTTTTTAAAGAAAATCAATGTTACGAAAGGTTTTGACTCCGCGAATATTTAATATCAAAGAATTTCGACAAATTACTTAAAGAATAACGATCAATTTTTAAATGGATAACCCCTCCTATATATAAATGAAATTTAACATCATTTATATACTCAGAACAATAACTTAAGTACTTTGTTTTGAGGTTATATACGCCAATAAATATTAAATATGAAGAAATTCATTAGGAAACGCTTACTGTAAGTGAATCCATTAATCAGGATTTACCGAAATATTAAATATCTTCGAATTTATGTTAGTAAGTAAAGTGTTTGTTAAATTAATTAAAGTTACTCTTAATTTTTTGTTCACAAGTCTGTCAAGATCATTTGATATTGTTTAATTATAACAAAACCTATGAAAGAAATAAATCATTAATCATTAAGTGGTACAAAATTGTTCTAATCTAATATAAAGATATAGAAAAATTATATTAATATATAACTCTACGAATGATTTCGGTCCATTAGAAATTAATTGTACAAACGTCTACGGTCCATTATATTCTACAAGCAGTTGTTGAACGCTTCAGTTCGATCGATAGCGTTCTTTGATTTAATAACGCCTCTTTAATTGTCTCGTTGAAAATTTCCAATAAATTAAATATTTTGTTAGTCGAGTTTCCTATCATTATTATCATTTTTTTCTCTCTATTTAAGGATATATTTTGCGATTTAATATTTCATTACCACATACCACCAGGTAGAATATAAGTCAAGCACTGGTTTTAATAATACTTACATTTATAAACAAATGAGGCAATGCCGTGTAACTCTTTAATAGTTGCCACTAAAACATTTAATGTCAATTACAATTGTTAGAGAGAGAATATATTATGCCATAGTTGCCACCCCAGCCAAACGGGTTGGCAACCGCGCAAATGGATAGTGCTCGAGAGGCAGCCTCATATTGGCAACCGCAGTGTTTTAGTGACCCCTCGAGCTTTTCGGGATTGTGTGCAAAATTATAAGTGTGTCGCTCTGGTATTTTAGTGATGGGGAGTTCGAAAGTTGCTTGAAATGGTTCGAGTAAATATGGACATTGCCGGAGCGTCACCCTTTTCTTTTCTTAACTAGTCTGACACACTTCCGTGTGTCTCGATCCCACCAAAAATTCCCACCTAAATGTACACGGGGAAAAATATAAAATGAAAGTAGTAACTTATTTGCAACGAGATGGATGCTCGTACGCTGGGGGTAGTAGGCTTCACCGATCAAACAGTATCCCAACAGGAAAGCTTGATAGCAGTTGCTTAAATAATTCCGTAAAATGGCAGGATATGTTGACGTATTTCGTACGGTAAGTGACAAGAACGCAAAAACATTTTTTAACTGGCAACGAGGCATTTCATCTTTGCCATCAGGGGTGGCTTCAAGTGTATTTTCATTATTATAGAGGATAATGATGTTTATCGCCCACAGCATTGACTTACCATCAGGTAAACTATCTGATCGACTGTCACCTGCGATTTCTTTAAAATATAGCACTGTTTGCACAATAAAATAGACATTGATAGAATCAGATGTTACTTTGCGGAAATCCATTATAATAAAGATATTAATATTTAGCTTGCAAGCATCTGCTAAATAATATACAATGATGTGTCTTCCCTAGTTTGAAGAGCACCTCACACCCTCCCTCAATTGCGTGCACTAATCCCGTCACCACCAATCCCAGCACCACTACTCCCAACGCCGCTAAGCGGTCAGCCGCCGTAGAGTCAACATCACCTGAAGATGCCTCGTGTAGAGGCGAAACACGTGTCTTATTATCATCAATGGTATGTCTTTCCTAGAATAGTGATGTTGAGAGTAGTGGCGTTGGGAGTAGTGGTGCTGGGATTGGTGGTGACGGGATTAGTGCACGCAATTGAGGGAGGGTGGGAGGTGCTCTTCAAACTAGGGAAGACATCATTGTATATAATTTAGCGCATAGACATTTAATTAATAATAATTGAAGTTTAATGTGTTCATTATTTACATTACATACAGTCAAAGTTACAACATCTTAATTACGTCTGGTTGTTTACTTAAATTAATGTTTCTCTCGCTATAATAGCGACTTGAATAATTATTCTCCCTTTCCAGAACCGTTTACGTCGTAAATAGACAAAAGTAATTATCGCGAAGTGTCATTGTCTGAATTAAATCCCAAAATAACTATGTTTAGCATGTTAGGTTTTTTTAATAGAATTAGGGGTAAGAAAATTGAGCATATGATCCACCCGATGGAAAGTGGTTGCTGTGTCCTATAGACAGCTACCAACATTTATTCTCAATTAAGATGTTCCGGTCCGAAGAGTTATGCGAGACAGTATAATTGCAGGCTCCCATAGGACCTCCGCCTTCAGAAGTAACAACGATTTAGTAGCAATCTCAGTTTAAAGTTGGCTGCAGCTGTCAATAAAAAAGAAAAAAAGCACAAATCCTTCTACAACTCTTATACGTGGTGGAGCCACGCTGCAGCTATATTATCAGTGTGGCACGAATGGGTCGGCTCGGCCAGGCAAGGACCACGCTCTCACAGAATACCAGCTTAAAATAGCCACCAGCGTAAAAATTTCGTATGGTGAGTGTTTGAAACGAGGCATTCCATCTTAGTCCACTGGGGTGACAACGCATCTGCGTTTCAATTCTTAATCAAGGATAAATGTAGATGTGTATGGGCCACAGCATCCACTTACTATCAAGTGAACTATGTGCTCGTTTGTCCCCGTATTCTATAAAAAGAATCATCCACCTGATGTCAACTGTAAGTTAGTTTGGTACTTCAGTTTAATAAAAGTTATGTTGTCACCTCTGAAGACAGAGATGCCAGTAAAAGGGACACCAGTTCCCATCAGTCTTCGTACAAACACTATAGAATTGTGTTGGTATTCTACGCTGTCACCGTTGTTAACGTGGTACTACTCCGGTCGAGCTGGTCCATTTATGGCTGTCATAATACCCATAGAATAGGTATACAACGTAACTGGCGAACAATGCTTGCGAATTTTGTATATCTTATACGATTTTAACAAGTTGGTTCGTGATCATTTATTAAAACAACGCGTTTTACATGACTCATCCATTTAATATGTATTGGTAAATTTCGTCATTTAAGTTTAGTTTTTTGTATGTACTTTTTATGTATGTATTTAAATATGTATATGAATGTATTTGTATATTTGTATATATGTATGGTTAGGTCATATATCAGTTCATTTATTAGTAAAATTAATGTATTATGTAGTTAATTATCATATGGTTTGTTTTTATATTCTATATTGCCACATCTATGTCAAAATCTCACCACTCCATGGGTTTACTGGTAGAGAATGCCTCAAGGAATTATGTCTGCCCTTTGTATTCTTTTGTTTTAATGAATGCAATAAAGAATAAATATATATAAGAAATATATCTCTAAATAAACTTAGATATGTAATGTTTATTAAATGATTTGTGATTTATTTTTGTGATTGATGTATTTGATTCTCAAAAAACATTAAAAATAAATCTGTACCAAGTTTTTATAAGAACGTTTTATATGGGATAAATAAATATATGTTGAGATTTATTTTTTAATCACAGTAAGGACTAAAGGTTAGTGATAGAGAGCCTCGTAACAATGAAAAGAGTATAGGACTACTCTTTAGCAAATAATTCTTCTTTTTCTGTTTATGTTTCTTTACTAGATGAAATGACGATTTGAAAAATCAAATAGGAATTCGATTAATTTTGGTATTGTGGCTATCTTTAAAAAAATAGAATTTCCTGCTAAAGATGATGATGATAAGGTATCCGAAACACA